CCCCCCCCCCCCCCCCGTCTGGTTCGTCTGTTTGCCCGTGCCGTTCAGTTGAGTGGTCGTGCGCGTGGCATTGCCTACGTGACATACGTCTTCCCCGAGCAGGCTGTCAAGGCACTGCCCGCCCTGCACAAGCACATCTTCCAAGGCCGGCTGCTCAAGGCCTTCCCCGCCAAACCCAAGCCCAAAACAGTCGAGGTCAGCCAGGCAGTATCCCGTTGTCGGACTGCAGCATGCACACGCGGCATGTGTGTGTTTCATCCACACAGGTGGAGAAGGTTGTTGGGGGGAAGAAGAAGGGCACCAGCTCATACAAACAGAAGCTTCAAGAGAAGAAGGAACAGGTGGATGGGGTGGGTCTGGTGTGGTGGGGCAGGCAGCAACACGCAGTCCTTGTTGACCTGTCGCTTGCCGTACCTTAGTTACCTCTTCCCCCTCTTGTCTGTCTTTTGCCTCTCTCTCTCTGGCTACTTACAGGAGGCGGGCAATCCTCAGCAGTGGAATCTGCTGTACGTGTCTGCCAACGCCGCCACCGACGTGATAGCCCAGCAGCTGGGCATCGAGAAGCGAGACCTGTTGGATGTGTCGAGCGACAATCTGGCTGTGCGGGTAGCCCTGGGCGAGACCAGGGTGCTGCAGGACACCAGGCGATGGCTCAAGGAGGAAGGCATCCATGTCGAGGCATTCGAACGTGTTGGTACGGACGCACACGACACAACACAACACAACACAACACATGGTTGGATGTGACGGTGTACTTTGAGTGAGGTGTCTGTGAACACAGGCAGATGCGTGTGCGTGTGTGTCTGTGTGTGTGGTGGTTGTTGTTGTGGCGTGTTCAGGCAACTCCCTGCTGACCGCTCGGTCGAGCCGTGACGTCCCTCGGTCGGATGACACGCTGATCGTCAAACATCTGCCGGCAAACACCACGTCAGTCGGCTACCCAGCCGCCACACCCACATACAAGCATTGTGGGCTGCATTTTTTGTTTGCTGTGTGCCGTGGCTTGGCTTGCTGGTGCAGCGAGAAGGACCTGCAAGACCTCTTCGTCAAATCCGGCCCCATCAGTGAGTAGAGTGCAAAAACGGGACTGTCATCTGTCCATCAGGCAACACAACACGGATGTGTGTGTGTCTGGCTTGTCAGTGCGACTGTGTCTGGCTCCTTCGCGGACAGTGGCTGTGGTGCAGTTCGTGCAGCCATCCCACGCCAGGGCCGCCTTCAAAGCACTCGCATACAAACGATTCAAGTGAGCAACTAACTGGGGGAGAGAGAGCAGAGTGCAGGGTATCCATCGGATGCATCGAGTGTGTTCCTTATCCCCCCAGGCAAGTGCCACTCTACCTCGAGTGGGCCCCAGCTGACGTCTTCACAGACTCGCAGCAAGATCACACCAACCACCAGGGCGACACCAGCTCAGCCAAGCCCAACGGCAAGGCGAAGGAAGACACCAAGGATACCCAGCCGGAGGACAAGCTCAAGCAGCTCATCGACCGTGACCGCAGAAGGAGGGGCGAGAAGCCCCTCCTGACCGACGACAAGAAGAAGGCACTCAGGCGGGCTGGCGTGGGAGTCGAGGATGGCATACAAGCAGCAGAGGGAGAGGGAGAGGGCGAAGAGGCGGGGCCGGAGGGAGAGGGGGGAGAGGGCGTGGTGGACGGCTCGAGCCTGTTCGTCAAGAACCTGAATTTCCGCACCACCGACGATGACTTCACCGAGCTCTTCGGCAGGGCCAAGGGATTCAGAAAGGTCAGTCAGCCAAGTCACTCACAGCGGATTCTTAAGATGGGAGGGAGGATGGGTGTCGCGTGAGTGACGTTCATTCATGCCAGTGCGTTGTATGTATTTTGGGTGCCTTGCCTTACCCACCCACCACCCCACCCATCCTCTCAGGCGATCATCATGAAGAAGAAGCGAGGCGGCAAAGAGGGCGAGCAGGCCAAGACGCTGTCCATGGGGTACGTACGTCGGCTGGCTACCTTTGTCGCCTCTGCATACATATTGCTTCCCTCCCTTTGTTTCCTTCATTTCATGCAGTTATGGCTTCGTGGAGTTCACGACTCCCGACCACGCC